GTCAATCTAAATACCGCAATGAATTGTTAAAGAAATTTGATATGCAAAACTGCAAGGTGTCCTCTACACCCATGTCTACTAACCGTTGTCTAGACTTAGATGAAAAAGGAAAACCCGTTGATCAAACTAAATATAGAGGTTTGATTGGTTCACTACTGTATCTAACCGCTAGTAGACTCGACATTATGTTTAGTGTGTGTCTTTGTGCAAGATTTCAGGCAAATCCAAAGGAATCTCATCTTACCGTCGCCAAAAGGATTCTGAAATACCTCAAGGGAACAGCTTAATGTTGGACTATGGTATCCTGAGGGTGCATCCCTTAAACTTGTTGGATTTTCTCGATTCCGACTTTGCAGGATGTAGATTGGACGTAAAAAGTACCTCCGGTACTTGTCATTTACTCGGGAGTAGTCTTATATCGTGGCACAAGAAAAAGCAAGCTTGTGTTGCTCTCATCAACTACAGTAAGCTCGAATACATTGTACTGGAGTCGTTGTGCTCAAAGCATTTACCTCAAGCAACAACTAACAGATTATGGAGTGACTCTAAACAAGGTACCTCCGGTTTGTGACAATACTAGTGCAATAAACTTAACTAAGAATCCTATTCAACACTCTAGAACTAAGCATATTGAAATTAGACATCACTTTATTAGAGAACACGTATCTAGGGGTGATTGTGAGATATTATTCGTTGAATCTAAAAACAGCTTAGCTGATTTATTCACTAAACCACTTCCTAGAGACAGACTTAATATGCTTAGGACTGAATTAGGAATTCTAGATATATCTAGTATTGTATAACTGATTCTTTACAGTAAGTGTATATTTTTTAACAGGTTGATAACAAGTTCAATCGATTAATAATTGCATGAATAACTGAATTTTATCTGTTTCAATCGATTGAAATTGCGAAATAATCTGTTGATTTCCTGATTCTTACTCTTTGGTATTGATATGTTATTAGTTCAATCGATTAGATAAACTTTTAATCGATTTATTTCATTAATCTTGTAGCTCTGCACACCTTCTTTTATAAATCAATCGATTAAATCTTCGATTCAATCGATTGAATTCACTAATGGTACTCTGAATAATTTTCTTTTACAAAATAATCGATTTAATTTTTGATTCAATCGGTGTATTTCACTTATAAGTATCTACGATTACAAAATCAGTTGGTTTCACGAAATATCAATTGATTATTTTTCTTCTAGGGCTAGTAGTATGTACTTTGTCTCTAACCAATTTCTGCAGAGTAAACTGAAAGCATTTACAACAAGATAAACTTCAACTACTCTCTTCAATATCCAAGATATCCAATAAAAGCTAATTGATGCTGATTGGATATCTACTGAGAAGGTAATTAAGTTATACAGTAGCAATTTCTTCTCTCTCCACCTTTATCATCACTGCGTAGTAGCAGTAATATAGTAAAGACAAAAATTTGTGAAGTTGATAAAGATTGTGTATTCTCATTCCTATAGTATTATTTTCTTCTTTGAGCTTCTCTTTTCTCGGTTCTTCTCTTCTCGCTCATTCCAAAAATCAAATATGTTCAAGCGCACAAAGTCCGGTAGGAAGAAGTCCAACAGAGGCGAGTCCTCTACATGCAAGGCAAGAACAGAATGTTGGAGGAAGGATTGAAACTTGGTTCAATGGGGACCAAGAGAAAATGGATTTGTTTATCCATGAATTAAGCAGGAAGCAAGTCAACATTCCAAAAATGTTAAAGTTCTCCTGGTTTGATGCCGAAGGATTCAAGTGGCATTCGAAAACTACCGCAACACCAAAAGCTTCGAAGTTTCGGAGTTAAATGGTAGGATTTACCCCGACTTAATTAAAGTCTTTTTCACTAACTTGTCCTTTGAAGGTTCCACTCTAATAACTCAAGTAAAAGGAGTAGACATTGAGATAACACCTAATGTCCGGAAGGAAGTTGCCTGGAATAAAAGATGTAGGTGTGAAAGTCACCAAAGGGTGTACTTCGGATGTTGAAGAATTTAATAAAGTTCAGTATTTCCGCTCTTGCTTGAAGAATAGGCATGATTCCGTAAGTTCATTCAACACTGGGAAGTTGAAACTGGAAGAAAGGATTCTCGCTTTCATCGTTTCCTGGCGACTTACACCCGGGGGAGCAATCATGCGGTGCTAAATGAAGGAGATTTAGTTCGATGTACTGCATTCATCACAGAATACGTGTGAACTGGGTCTTTGTCATCAAGGATCACATGATCAAAGCCAAGAGACTTAGTGATTTCAGGTATCCCTATGCTATTCTGATTTCGAAATTTTTAACACATTTTGGTGTAGATGTAGAAGGAGAACTTGTTGAAATCGTCCGACCAACAAATGAAATAAACAATTCCGTTCTTCACAAAATGGGATTTATTAAAGTTGATGGTGAATGGATCTCGAAAGAAGATGCTCGGGAGAAGTGAAGAAAGTGAAGAAGAAGAGCAAGAGGAAGGAATCAACACCGATATTCCCGGAACTTCGCAAAGACGTTCGTCCGATCCAATGGAAGAAGTGAACCCAATGGAGATGATTCCATACAATCCACCGCTCGACCGTGGCACTCCTCCGTCTCGCTCGAAATAACAATGTTACATCAAATGAGCGAACTGCAACCGACCAAAGGAGGCATATGGAGATGACTCGCTGCTCCGACGGCTCGGCAAGCATTATTTGGATGAAAATTTCATTGCAAGGTTCCAAGCATATTGATAATCAACTAGAAGACATTTACAACAGGATTGTGGAACTGCAATTCAATCAAGGCCCCGGGGACGAATGAAGATTTTCTATGTTTTTGTTATTCTGTTTTCTTTTCTTAGTTTTTAATGTTCTGTTTTATATTTGGGGTACCCAAGTGGCCCCATTGGACTGTAACTAAAACAATCTATTTGATGCAGTCAAATAGGGGGAGAAGAAGTATTTGCTTAAAACTGTCACTACACACACACCACAAAATATATGTCTCCGGTCCGGTATTTTTGTTTTGCAGTGCAGTGGTTATTTGTCTCCATCAAATAGGGGGAGATTGAAGCACTTGGTGGATTTGATGAAGACATAGATATAGCTTAGGTTGTGGGTGTGTAGATGATTAGGTTTTTAGTTGAAGCACTTAATCTCTTGATAGGACATTATATTTTGTGATAAGCACCTTAAAATGTTGCATCTCATTGAAAATCATTTTTCTCGCATGAAAAACTTACGTTTAAGTATTAAAAGAATAAACTAAGTTTTTTTTCAATCTGTTGAAAAGGATTTTCAATCTGTTAAAATCACTTAACATAATAAATGGTCATACATAGTCGAAAATTCAATTGATTGATTCGCTGAATCAACAAGTTAAAATAACTCAATGAATTTTCAATATCAAGTTTCGCATTTTCAATCGTTGAAATGATTTTAAATCTGTTGAAACGAAAAGATCTTTTTCAGTCTAAGAGTTTTTAGAAAATCAATCTGTTGAAATGATTTTAAATCATTGAAACGAGAGACTATTTTTTAACTAAGTGTTTGCAGGATTTCAATCGTTGAAATGACTTTCAATCGATTGAAACGAAGAGTCTGTCATTTTCATTAAGTTGTTTCAATCCATTAAAAACTCGAATCAATCGATTGAATGGAGCTTTAAATGAAATCAATCGATTGAATTGATGTTTTAATCGATTGAATGGAGCTTTAAATGAAATCAATCGATTGAATCGATATTTTAATCGATTGAAATAATATTCTGATCGATCATAGTTTTGTTCTAATCGATCATAACTCATTCTGATCTATCATAGTTTTATTCTGATCGATCATAACTCGAGCCTAATCGATCATACTTCGCTTTTAATCGATCGAGTCTCTTCTAAACCTCGTTTTACTTGCTAACCAACTTATCTTTTGACTCTCTAAAACAGCTTTCTAACAGATGAAACGTTCGCTTTTTTCGATTTACTCTATATATACAGATTTGATCTATCTTTTGAAATACAATACAACACACTACTTGAGAAAACTTGTGAAATCAATCTGTGAAACTTTCATACGTGACTTTCTCTCGCATTCAAGAATCTTTTTCATATCATAAGGTGTCGTGATCAGAATTGTGGTCATTCAAAGAGAGAAAGTGTTGTTAGAATTGGTTCTGGACAATTAGAAACTTCAAGTCCAGGTTTTTTCTTTCCATATTCTTTTGTAAAAGTTTGATTGTGCAGGTTGGATTGTAATCTCGCACTTGGTACAAGAATCGGATTTGGTTACTCGGGTGGTTTTCAAGATTCTGTCTTGTGGGTTTTGCAAGATAGTTCTTGGGGTAGATTGGTGAGTATCTACTCGGTTGTAATTTTCACTTGGTATTAGTGGAACTTGACTGGTTTGTCAAGAACTGGATGTAGCTCTGGATTAGAGTGAACCAAGTATAAATTTGTGTGTTAATATTCTTCTTTCATCTCTTTTAATTTCTGTCTTTAATTGTGCTGTGTTTAAACCAAATTACCTTTGCAAAGATTGAATAAAGATAACTCATTCTTCCAAAAGAAAGTAAGTTTTGCGAAAAAGTTTTAAAGTTCAATTCACCCCCCCTCTTGAACTCAACCATTAATTCTTTCAAAACCGGATGGCTAAACAAAAAAAAAAGCCAAAAACAAGAATCCCCGGCAAGACCGGATGGCTAAAAAGAAAAGCCAAAAACAAAGAATCCCCGACAAGACCGGATGGCTAAAAAGAAAAGCCAAAAACAAAAATCCCCGGTAGGACCGGATGGCTAAAAAGAAAAGCCAAAAATAAAGAATCCCCGACAGGACCGGATGGCTAAAAAGAAAGGCCAAAAACAAAAATCCTTGGTAAAACTGGATGACTAAAACAGAAAAGTCAAAAAGAAAGAAAATCAATCACTCCCCATGGAATGGGAGCATGATCAGAAACAATAAGCCGCCAACACATCTCCAGAACTAGATGACCATAGGACTGACTACAAAAAGAGCATCCTAAGAGCCTTGCAGAATGGGGTTCATACCAGGTGGGGGTAGGTACCCATCAGAGCCTTGCAGAACGAGGTTCGTACCAGGTGGGGGTAGGTACCCATCAGAGCCTTGCAGAACGGGGTTCGTACCAGGTGGGGGTAGGTACCCATCAGAGCCTTGCAGAATGGGGTTCGTACCAGGTGGGGGTAGGTACCCATCAGAGCTTTGCAGAACAGGGTTCGTACCAGGTGGGGGTAGGTACCCATCAGAGCCTTGCAGAACGAGGTTCGTACCAGGTGGGGGTAGGTACCCATCAGAGCCTTGCAGAATGGGGTTCATACCAGGTGGGGGTAGCACTACTACAGAAAACACTTACTACGACAGCATCCAACGTCGGTTTTTATGAAGACCGACGTTGTACAAGACGCGGTGGCAAACTTGTAATTAAGAAACAATATTTAACATGGGTTATAAAAAATCCGACGTAGTAATGGACAAATAACATCGGTTAGATGACAGACGACGTTAAATGTTTAAATTTAACGTCGGTTATGTATAACCGACGTTGAAATCCCAAAATCAACGTCGGTTCCATGATTTACCCGACGTCGAAAGCATTATCCACGTCGGGTTTTTTAATAACCGACGTTGAATGTCCTATGATACCTAGACTCCAAGGCGCGCAGTTGTTCTTCTGCTTCTTCTTCGTGCCCACATACCTCCCTCCTTCAGTCCTCACTGCCGTGCACTGCTACCTCGGCTCAGTCGTGGTCTATCGCCTCGGTCCTCACTGCCGTGCTTCGCCCTTCGCCGCTCCTTCGCCGCCCACTCGCCGCGCTCTTACGCGGCGTACCCCGTTGTTGTCGTGTGTGTGGTAGCCCTCGTTTCCCTAAGGAAACCCCTTCTCATCAGGTTAGATTAAGTTGTATGGATGATTTACAGCATGCATTTAACATAAATATGGATTATTTAGAGCATTTCCTGCGTATGAACATTAGAATGATGATGGATGATTTTGTATGGTTTGATTTGATATAGGTTCGTTTAGGCTTTTGGAAGTTTGTTTTCGGTTTCGAAGCGGTATATACTCTTTCATGTAGATGTACACGTTTTATTTTCCCAATCTTGATGTGGGAAATGAGATGTACACATTTTTTTGTATTGTTTTGCTAAACCTTTTCTAATAAACCTTGAATATCTAGGCAAGCCTTTTTGTGTAGTTAGATGGATCGAACTTGGGTCAATGCAAGTCGCATGTCGAAGAGTATGAGAATGGAGTTGACTCCTTTTTGAAATTTGCCAGAACAAAATGCTCCCAAAATGAATGGAAAAATCTATTGCCCATGCGTTAATTGTGTAAATGGCGAGTACAAGAGATGGACACAACGCGGAACATCTTATTTGCGATGGGATGATGAAGAATTACACCATATGGACATGGCACGGTGAAGTGGTTGATATTCCAACAAGTATCACAAACTATTGAGGATGATGTAACCTGCGAAGATCGAATAGAGGACATGCTTTGTGATGTGGGTCAAGAGAGCTTTCTTGAAGCACATGCATCTATATATGATACATTGAGGACCGATTCAGTAGACACCTTTGTATCCCGGATGTACAACTTTCACACGGTTGTCATCTGTGTTAAGATTGTCAATCTAAAAGCAAAATTTGGTTGGAGTGATACAAGTTTTAATGAATTACTCCAACTTTTGAAGGAGATGCTCCCAGACAATAACACCTTGTCGGACCGTATGTATGAAGCGAAGAAGATACTATGTCCGATGGGTTTAGAATATAGGAAGATACATGCTTGCCATAATGATTGTGTGTTATACAGGAAAGAATTCTCATCTTTAGACCAATGTCCAACATGTGGTGTATCACATTACAAAGCGAAGGATGGTGATGATTGTAGTCAGGAGAGTGGTAAAAAACGTCCTCCTGCAAAAGTTTTATGGTATCTTCCAATAATTCCAAGATTTAGGCGGTTGTACGCTCACAAAGATGCTGAAAATTTAATTTGGCATTCAAAGAGAAAAACATGTGATGGGCAAATGCGACATCCATCTGATTCTCCCCAATGGAAGAATTTTGACCGTCTATTTCCAAGTTTTGGTAGTGATGCAAGAAACCTTAGACTTGGATTAGCAACAGATGGGATGAATCCTTTTGGAAATTTAAGTAGTAACCATAGTTCATGGCTCGTTTTATTGATGATTTACAATCTTCCACCATGGTTATGCATGAAGCGCAAATATGTCATGTTGTGTATGATGATTTCAGGTCCAAGACAGCCAGGAAATGACATAGATGTGTATTTGAGTCCTTTGATAGAAGACTTAACACTATTATGGGAGGAAGGAGTAGATGCATTTGATGGGTATCAGCAGCAGAAGTTCAAGTTGCATGCAATGTTATTTTGTACCATTAATGACTTCCCTGCCTATGGAAACTTAAGTGGGTATAGTGTGAAGGGGCATTATGCTTGTCCTATTTGTGAAGAAGAGACCAGTTATATACAATTGAAACATGGAAAGAAGACAGCTTTATAACAGTGCACAAAAAATTTCTCCCGCATGACCATCCATACCGTAGACTGAAGAAAGCTTTTAATGGCATACAGGAGGATGAAATTGCCAGAGAACCATTGACTCGATTTAGAAGTTTACGATCGAGTGAAGAACATAAGCATTACATTTGGAAAGACCCAAAAAGGTCTTCTAACAAGAACATGTGGAAGAAGAGATCAATTTTCTTTGATCTTCCATATTGGAGCCATTTAGAAGTACGACATTGTATTGATGTTATGCATGTGGAGAAGAATGTATGTGATAGTCTCATTGGCACATTGTTAAACATTCAAGGAAAGTCAAAGGATGGGATCAAAGCACGTCAAGACCTTTGTGAGATGGGAATACATCCTGAATTACATCCAAGGCCTCGAAGGCAATAGAACATATCTACCACCAAAGCATGTCACACCTTGTCAAAGAAGGAGAAACGTAGTTTATGTCATTGTCTTGCAAGTATTAAAGTGCCACAAGGATACTCTTCAAATATTAAGAGTCTTGTATCCATGAAAGATCTGAAGTTAATTGGATTAAAGTCCCATGATTGTCACGTTTTGATGCAACAGTTGTTACCCGTGGCTATACGTAACATATTGCCTAAGAATGTTAGACATGCCATTATGCGACTATGTTTTTTCTTCAATTCTATTTGTGCCAAGGTTATCGATGAAAAATCACTAGATGAGTTGGAAAATGAGGCTACTAGTTGTGCTATGTCAATTAGAGATGTATTTTCCTCCATCATTCTTTGATATAATGATTCACTTAATAGTTCATGTTGTGAGGGAGATACGAATTTGTGGGCCGGTTTATTTGAGGTGGATGTACCCAATTGAGCGATACATGAAGATCTTCAAAGGGTATTCTAAAAATCCATACAGACTCGAAGCTTCAATTATTGAGCGGTATATTGCAGTAAGAAGCCATAGAATTTTGTTCAGATTACTTGGCAAGAGTCGTACACTGTGGGTGTACCTAGAAATCATCATGATGATAGGCTAAATGGTAAGGGAACTCGTGATATTAGAATTCAAACAAAAGATCATGTAGAGTTGACCACCGCCCACTTGTATATTTTGAACAATATAGAAGAGGTTATTCCTTACATAGATGCGCATAAAGCAATGTTAAAGGACCTAAACCCCAAAATGGGTGAAAGGTGGTTGATGAAAGAGCATAACAACAACTTTATCAATTGGTTTCAAAGCAAAATATTTTCAAGTGACAATGCCTCGATACACTCGAAATGGCTAGCACATGGGCCTAGATATAATGTTATAACTTGGCAAGGGTATGACATTAACAAATACTCATTCTATACGAAGGCACAAGATGACAAAAGTACGAGTCCAGAATAGTGGAGTATCTATTGAGGCAACATCTATGCACTTTTCTAGTGCAAAGGACAAAAACCCCATCATGGCATCAATTAGTTACTTTGGAGTCATTGAGGAGATTTGGGAGGTCGACTATACTAAATTCAAAGTGCCTTTATTTAAATGTAAATGGGTTGATAGCAATACCGGTGTCCAAAGAGACCAAATGGGATTTACTTTGATTGATATAAACAAGATTGGTCATAAGGAAGAACCCTTCATAATGGCATACCAGGCAAAACAAGTGTTTTATGTCACTGATCCATCAAATGATAGGTGGTCAGTTGTCCTCAAAGGAAAAATGATTGATGTCACAAATGAGAATGGAGAAGAATTAGATGATTTTATTAACATTCAAAATTCACCATGGTTGCCTATTGCTATATCCCAATTGGAAGAGGACTTTGTTCATGCTACTCGCAATGACCATGATGAAGGCATATGGGAAAATATTAATACAATCTAAGTTATGTTTCTATTTGTTTATTTTTTTAACATGTAATTGAGGAGACTTTGCATGTGTATTGATATAATTCTATGTTTTTTTCATTACGGTAAATGGCATGTCCTTCACCATCTCCTCCACCATCTCCACCATCTCCACCACCATCTCCTCGGGCATCCGGAAAGACATTTTCCAAGAAGAGGAGTCGACAATCTACATGGTTGAAAGGCTTGACCGTTAGACACATATTCGGTCGAAGTTATCTCGTGTTCTGCTGATCCTAGGACTCGGCAAGGTGTCAGGTCCCTTTAGTACCCAATTTAGTAGCTACTTTGGTACACTAGCTAGAGAGAAGGTATTTATTCTATTTCAAAGTTAATTTCATTTCAAATATATTGTTGATACTTATGTTGTTTATGTTGTGTAGATATCTATTCTCCATCCTACTTGGGATCATGTGGAGGAAACTATGAAGAACTTGTTATGGCAAGATCTTCTTGTAAGTATGTGTATTTAGTTGTTTATATTGTTTATACATTATTATCAATTGGTTAACTAAAACTTGTTTGATACTGTAGGAACACTTTGATATAGTCAATTCTGAGGATGTGAGGAGGAAGATAATGACAACCATAGCAAAAATGTGGAGACAGTTCAAGTCCACATTGACAACTAAATGGGTGTATGCTGAGGACAAAGTTAGGAAGGGATTAACCCCTTGCCAAAGATATGGCATAGATGAGGACACTTGGAAGAAGTTTGTACATAGTAGGACTGGTTCAGAGTGGGAGGTAATGTTAATTGCTTAATTGACTTGAACATTTTATAATGAGTTGTGTATCTAATATTGTGTTCAATTATGTTGCAGAAAGAAGAAAAAAAGCAAAAGACATTCGGAGCAAGAATGTCGCCCCCACCTTCCGTCTCGTGGTGGGTACGACCTATTGACAAAGAAGATGATGGAGGAGAAGATGAGACTTCGACGAGTCGGAGTT